TAAGGAGTTAAAGCCTTGGAAACTCACAAGGGCAATTCTACCACGTCCTGTGGGGTCACTCTGAGTCGGCTTTGACTTGACGGCAGTCAGAGTAGCATGGCATGGGAGCATGCCATGGGGGGAAATGTGGAGCTAACAATGGGCACAAAAAAAAATGTTCTGAAATTGATTGTGGCGATGACTGCACAACTCTTAATACGATTGAACTATTGAACTGTATGCTGTGAATTATGTACCAATAAAACTATTTAAAAAAAAAAAGATTTAGTCTCAGAAACCCAAAGTAGTAGTTCTACTTTGTCCTATAGCCATGACTATGAGTCAGACTTGACTCAATCGGAGTGAGTTTAGAGTTTGTTTCATATCGTCTATGATTTTGACCTTCTGTTTTGCTATGAAATCTCTCATTTTTCAAGGAACTGTGCATCAGAGTCCAGGAAGAAGCACAGAAGGCTGACTATCCAGCTTCAAAACCGGGCCCTCCTATGCTGTAGCTGATTAGGTTCTGCATCAGTAAAACCAAGATAACTGCACTTACTCCAAGGTAAATCATACAAAGCGCATACACGCTTCTCCCAATTATCACGACTATCAAGTTCTACAGCTAATTCTAATGAACTTGAACTGCTCTGATATATAATTCTTAAAAGAGTATAATGCTCAAAAAAAAAAAAGTATGAGCCCCTAATAAAACGATTAAAAAAAATGTTTTGAGAATGACGAGGGCAACAAATGTACAAAAGTGCTTTACATAATGGATGTATGGATTGTGATAAGAGTTGTACGAGCCCCCAATAAAATGATTAAAAAAGAAAAGAAAAAGAAAGTAATAACGCTCAAGGTAGACCATTTGAACTAGGTAAGATAAACTACTGTTCAGTTTTAAGAAGAAATCAAAGGATATTTTGGTTTAATACTTAAAGATTATCTCGGAGCAATAATTTTAAGAGCTCACCTCTTTCCATGGCATGGCTCCAGAAAGTCTAGAGTCCATGAAAACTTACAGACCTGCTATGTTTGCACAATGCCTCATACCATGGATGAACCTGGAAGATATCATACAAATGAAAAATGACAAATTTTGTATGAAACCACTATTATAAAGAGCCAAGAACAGGTTTTCACACGAAGAGAAAATTACTTTGGTGATCAACAAGGGTAGGAGAGGAATGAAGGGGAAGTCACTGGCTAGAGGGAAGATAGGTAGTAACTGGAGTGAAGGAAGATAGGCAAAAAATGATGAAAATAGAGCAAGACATTGGAATTTGAAAGAATTAAAGACAACCGAAGAAAATAATGTTCTATAAACAATCCTGCCATAGTGCCATCTACACTACAAGAAGATAGGTATGCAGACTCAACAAGTATGAAAGCGTGAGCAGGAATATACACACCCCCCAAAAAATATATATAGAATTGACGGGATATTTGTATATGTGCATTTAATTCTGCTGCAAATATACCCACGAATTTGGTGGAGTATACAGGAGGCAAAGTTATAAATATTTCCTAGAAATATTCAAACCACTTGGCCTGGGGGATCAGGACCACAGTTTCCAGTAACACCAAGATCTACTGGCATTACATAGTTCACTACATAGTTCAGGTGAGCAGTGACAGATCTTATAAGCTCCTGAGCAGCCATCTAAGGTGGAACCATTGGCCTCTCCAGGTCCAAAAGAAAGAAAAGTAATTAAAATCAAAAGCCACCTGGAAATAATTAATCTAATCTACTAACAGACCACACAAAAATCAGTTTCCACAACCCTGACACTGGAAGAACTAGATAATGCCTGTGTATCACCAACAACTTCATTGAAAGGATCACATTAAAAGTTCCTGATAGAGTAGGAGAAAAATGTCAAACACAACTCAAAATTTAAGAGGTCAAGTTTACTGGCCAGGGAGACAGGTAGGATTCTTGACACTATAAACCTCAGTCAACCTTCAGATCAACCCCTGTGATCAAAGAACCAACCATTTAAGATCAGAGGTGCAGTATCTACCCAAGGGCAAGTCCAGAGGACTAGGGAAAAAAGAGGAACAAAAACAGTGCACACACAAAGTAGAATAGGGGATGGTACATGAGGGGATTGCAATAGATGAACTGAAACAACATGGATGAGTTGCTGAATGTAAAATTCATGATCTATTCTGTAAACCTTCACCTAATTAATAATTATATATATATATAATTACATTTGTTTTACATTTTATCCCTTTTGATCAGGATTCTTCTTTGGTTTCTATGATCGACATGTTCAGTCCAGGCAGTCCCCCAGGTTATGAAAGTCTAACTTACAGGTGACTCTTACTTGTCTGAGTAAATTACCATAAATGCAGGGCTTCAAACAAGTCTGTCATGGCTAACAAAGTGAAACAGCAACAGACTGAAACGTTTATAATTTATGTGACTTGCAATAACTGGGCCAGGTCAAAGCCCTAGCGAGGAAGACTAGGAAGAGGCATAGTGAACCTGATGAGAGTGTATTATTGGCAGGCTGTAGAGAGTCACATACATTCAAAAGTGGCACTGTTGACCCCTGACCACTATCTCTGAGTTGGGCACTGCCAACCTTGAAGCCCTGCTTTAACATTATGCCTTAATTTTGAAACAATTAAGCCAAGCCATTCTAACAGCAAATTCTTCTTCAAAATCACCTTCACTTTTTGTACATTTTTTTAAATAATTGAAAATCCTTTAAGCATTGTCTTGCGTTAAAGCAAGGCTTAATAACCATAAATATCTGTTCAATTCACCAACAAACTCTTTAAAGCAGTTAGGAATGGATTTCATTCATAGTCCAGGGACTGACTGTAATAATAGCAGAGCACCATCTAGTTCTTCCAGTTTCATCGAAAAGGAAGCAGTTGTTTGTAGAAGCAATTAGACACATTCCACATTCTGCGCCTATTCATGACTCTCCTCTCTTGTTCCCAGGTAAACAGAGACCAACTGTTGTACCGGGGATTACCACTTCCAAGCTTTAGTACCTAGGCACTATTCAACAAACTAGTAGGTAGAACAGATGCAGTAAACATGATAGTAGGCCAATTAACTAAGATGCGCCATGAAATCATGACCATAGCTTCCAAACTAAGAACTTAACCCAATCAATATTTGGTTGTACATGAACAACCTCAACAGTTACTCTTTCCTTCAGAGATTTCATCTGTGTATTTCCCCTGTAGTTTTTTCACTGAAACAACTTTAAAATGGGTCCAAAGGGAAATCAAACAATAAGAAATTACATTTGAACCTACTACATTTACCATAATTGACTTTAAAATGCTCTCTGATAGCCAGGCTATTCACATCCCTCAACTATGAGCAGAGGGAATTCACCAGAGGCTTAATCCAGGTGTGGACCCTGCTAATGGCTTTGGGCTTCTACTGTCGTTCACGGCCTTCTGCAAAGTAAGTGTTAACAATTATTTACAATCCTTGGATCACATAGGTTAGTGTGCGTCTTCCAGGCGGACTTAGTTGATATCTCATTTAGATGGTTGCTTGTTTTAAGATAAGCTGCTAAGCCCCCAGACACTATTCTTTCTGTTGCACAGTTCTTTCTGCTACACACTTTGCTGTAGCACATGAGAACGAGCATCAAGCAGGGCAATGCCATAAGAGCTAATTATTCTGAGGCTGCAGTTGGATTCTCCTCCTTTGTGTAGCCAGAGGAGACATAGAGAAGCAACACTTTTCAACTAATCAAACACACATAGATTAAAAAGATTTTAAAAACCACCGTAATGCTAAAAGTGTGCGTAATGGGTACTCATGCACTGCTAGAGAGACTGTCAACTGGTGTAGTTTCAGAGGTTATTTTGTTATATGCTAATATATGCATATAAATAATGTATGGCCTGACCTTATTTATCTATTTGTAATTATTAAAAACAAATCGGGTAAACACAAGATTAGTAATATCAAGGCTGGTTTAAATGAAGGGATATATCCATAAAATCAAATGTTCATAAAATTAAGGACCATTAAGTAAAATTCAGACAGGCATATAATGGGAACTATTTGAATGAAATAGAATACACTTGTTTGCTAAAATGTATACACACATTGTATTAATGGATGTCTCAAATGCTTTTTGAAACTTAAAAACTATTAAATTTTTTATTACATTTCATCAAATCTAATATCACTGACTTTAAAGATACACCATGATTTTATGAACTAGAAGAAAATTTACTATCAAACTACAAAACATCATCAAATATAAATATACTGATTTTAGATATGCTGAAATTTGAAAAATTGTGCATCTTATGTTCAATGGAATACAGTAATACACAAAAATATTCAAACTATTTTTCATTAATTAAAACTAACTAAAGGGACTTGGTAAAAAAAAGAAAAAAAAAAGATAAAACTGTAACTAAGGGAATTAAACAACAGGGCTGAAAAAACATTAAATGGACATCCACCATGGCAATTAAATAATTAAGCTTTTATATATTTTTAGACTTGCTTCTACCAAGGATAAAACAAACTGCCATTGAGTTGATTCTGAGACCCTATAGGGCAGAGAAGAACTGCTTCATAGATTTTCAAAGACTGAAATTCTTTACAGAGCAGACAGCTTCATTTAACCAAACCCAAGCAAGACCTTTTAGTTGATTTCAACTCATAAAGATTTTATAAGAGAGAGTATAACTGCCCCAATAGGTTTCCAGGACTGTTATCTTTACAGAGCAAACTGCCAGTTTTCTCCAAGGGAGTGGGTGGTGGGTCAAAGAGCTGGCTCTTCTACAAGCAGCTGAACACTTAACCACCAAGCCACCAAGGTTCTTAAAGTCCCAAAACAAAAACAAAACTTTAATTTAAAATACCAAATACATTTTTTGTAATTCACAATTTGTCCATAGTAGCCTCAAATAAATACAATTCTGCGAAGCCACTTTAAGATGTCTCAAATCTCATGTACTTCATTTTTACATCTTTACATCTTCTGTCAAGCATAAACTCTTTTAAAAAACCACATTACCTATTCCCTAGTAAAAAAGTCCAATGTTTCTCAATAAATGAACAGATATCTTCTTTCCATCTGAAGTAACCTTGGCGCCCACTTCCTTCCAGAGACAAGTTGTACATTGCCAACATGACAATCTGAAACACAAACAAAACAAGGCCTGTGAGCGTGTTGATTAGAGATGTTAATCTTTCAGAGGGAATTGTTTATCCTGTTTTACATCTTGAGTAAGAATGATTGGAGTGGGTAGGTGAGGAATTGATAATATTTCTGCTGAAGAATTTCACTTAATCTAAATCATTACACACCGTAATGAATTAGCACCATTTACTCAACTTACTGAGGTGCTCTGGTAGTGCTGTTGGGTAAGGGTTGGCAGTTTAAACCCAGCAGCAGCTCTACAGGAGAATGAGGAGGCTACTACACCCATAAGGATTTATGGCGTCTTGGAAACCCTGTAATTCGATCGCTATGAGTCAAAACAGACTCAAAGGAAAAGGAGTCTTTTTGGTTAATGAACTTACTAGACTTTTCAATACATAAATACCACTAAATTAATTATATACAATTGTTCCGTATGTCTTAGAAATGCAGAGGCAATGTATGGCTGAACTGGCTTACAACACAGTTCCCTCTGAACCAGCTGGCTAACAGTTACTGATGACAATGCTGCCACTAAAGTAGTCCAAGGATATACATAAACTTTAGATACATGAATGGATTTTGAGCTTGCACTTAATCATAAACCCCAAACTAAGAACAATTGGCTCCTAAGACGTGGCCCTCAAGAAGTGATCACTGAAAATATTGGTGCTACAGCAAAGTGTGGTAAAGAAATCTGATGGTGACTGGCTATAAGAAAACATAGCATGTGGGGGTCTTAAAGGCTTGTCTTAACACAAGCAGCCATCTGAGTGAGGTGTCAGCTAAGTCTACCCAGAAGAAGCACACCAGCCTGTGTGAACCAAGATTATAAATAATCAAATCAACGATCAAAGATAGAAATAGTAAGAGAGTAATTCTGAGCACGGGTTTGTAAAGGTTATGAGTAACAGTGAAAGCCCAAAATCCATGTGCAGAGTTCCCACATGAATTAAACCTCCATTAAATTCCCTCTACACACTGACCAAGGATGTAAATAATAGTGTTGCCTTCCGACAGGGCTAACGGAAAGGCCATTACCGCCACCTGTCTGATCAGCCCAGGGAGGGCAGTGTGTGTTGGAGCCTTGCTCAAGTGTGGCCTTGATGGAGATCACACGTAGAGATGGCACAGTAATGAGTCATACCCTGACTGCCTGGAGAAGGCCCCTGAATCCCTCTTCTAAACATCCGTCTCCCACACAATATACATATCCATATCACAGCCTGGTCCCCACTCCAGTAATCCTACCTATAAGTAGGAAGGACCGATTTGCTGCCAATAATGCATTTGTGACGAATTTCCTTGAACTCCCAGGCCTTTTTAATGTTCTGTGTGTCAGTGAAAACTTGGGCACTATTACTACCTCAAGCTATTGGTCTCCCCATCAAGATGTCTTTATCTTGTCCCATTTAAACTTTAATAAGTGTTCTCTTAAAAATCAGATGAGTCTGATCTAAGATTTACACAAGTATCTTTGGAAAGTAAAAACATAATTTCCAAGAGATGCCAGTCTAGTTAAATATGCATATTGAGCCATAATCAAAAGTCAGCTTTTCATTTTAAAAGAATGTCTAGAGGAAATTCACATTCTTGAAAACAGCAAATTACCAATAGTTGTTGCTCTTCCACTTCACAGCTTTTACCTGAAACTACTTGCAGGCCAAATTCAGATATGCCTGTATGTGCATAAAATCCAACTGTGATTCCATATGTGTCAGAGTAGTGAACGGCTGATTTTTCACAAGTAGATGGCCAGATATTTCTTGTTAGGCTTTCAGCTAGTAGTCAAGCACATTAACTATCCAGGGATACACATACACATAATCTACTACTACTAATCTGCTTTGCCTAGACATGCTATCTCATGTATATTTTAAG